ATTATGAAAAATTATATATATATATATATATATATATAAATAAATAAATAAAGTTTAAAAAGATTGGGGTCTTTTTTAAAAGAAATTAATACATTTATTAATCAACAATGCATTGATTTAAAAATGAGAAAGTAAAGGCATTTACGTTGTTTTAAAAAAATTAATTGTAAATAAATGATGTTCTTCTGAACTTTCGTATTCATCAAATAATGATTATTTATTTATTTATAAATATTTTATATATAAATATATTAATTTAAAATATACAATACAACTACATATATAGTTATAGTTTGGGGTCGGTAAACTTTTTAATGAAGATACTACATAAATATTATTGCAATATTGCAGTTTAAAATTACTGTTTTCTAATTTAATAGTTTTTTAAATGTAGTTTTATATAATATAATTACATTTTAAATGAAAAAGAAAGAAAATGTGCTCCAAAATCAGCATAGAAAATGCGAACAGCAGTTAGCGGATTCTCTTGGGCCTTCATACGGTACAGGTTTACAACACAGAAGCTTCTGGGCAGGTTTGAAACATGAAACGTGGAAGTGCAAGTTTGAGGAAGCCACAAAGTCAAGCGCCTTTCTCACGCACTGCGTCAGTCAGACAGATGGTTTATGGGTTTCTTCCGTTTAACGTGTGTGCTTTTGAGAAGAGTGGAAGGAAATGGCAACAGGTGTTTGGCAGGGCGTCAGAACTTTATTTAGATATCAACAGATGTCAGTGAGAGTTACGTTTACAAGATTCCATTATCAAACAGTGAAGTTATCTACATTACAAAATGCATATAATGCACACCAACCCTCTTATTTGTACCCAGTTGTGTGTATCTGGTTTGCTGCAGAATCACCGGTGAGCGGTTATTTCACACTGTCATTGTAATGCCAGATAGTCACTGTCACATCATTAGGTTGGAGGGGGAAACACAAATGCTGACGCCCACTCATTGGGCAGAGAGTTTCCGAGCAGTGACGTCCCGCTGGGGAAATGAGGAAATGGGATGGAGGAAGGAAATGAAACTAAATGTCCTCTAAAGACCCTTGACTACACAGTTGTGAAACATCAGAACCTCCAGTGGCTCAAATCTGTCTCTTTTTTCAGTGAAACAGCGAACAACAAGCTCCTGTCTGAACACTGTCTCAGTTTTTGACTTTTTACTGTGATTTACAAATTGTACATGACAGATCCTGGGCTGTTTTTCAAGTATATACTGTAATTTTTTATGTAGGGCCCATTGAGAATCTCTTTGAATAATACACACATATACTGTACTTTGTAGGGATGTAACGATTCACTCAATTCACGATTCGATTCACGATTTTGATTTCACGATTTGATTTGATTTGATTTGATTCACGATTTTTTATTTTTTTTTACAAAATGAGATTAAGGCTTTGTCTGTGCTCTTTCCTTTTAAAATTAGAGGCAACCACTGCATTTTAATCATGATCCAAACAAAGATGCTGCATACATTCAACATGATCAGTTTTTAATCTAAATTAGATTGTATAATTTCGAAATTTGAAGCAAAAACAGAATGGTTTGACTTCAGTTTTGTGAAACTATACATAAAAATATCTGCATGAAACAGCGGACGAGCTGAATGAGACACGATTCACTCTCTGCCAGCAGGTGGCGCTTAAAGCGTTTCCTTGGTTTCCGCTGTAAACAAAGCAGCGCTGCACTTATGAACTTTAATATGTATTATACAGAGGCAAGATGAAAAGAAAAAATACCATCTAAACTTTTCTAAAGACAGTAAGTTCCCCTCAGACATGCATTCATATAAACTCCTACCCCTAAATGAATCGCGATTTGTTTAGCATCTCAACTGATTTGAATCGTCACATATTTGAATCAATTTTCAACCGGCTCGCGGTTAATCGTTACATCCCTAGTACTTTGCATAGACAGTCTGTTAAAAACGCCTTTTGGGAGGGGTCAGAGACTGGTCACAGCAGCATATGTGTGTTTGAACATTTGAAACACCAATCAGTTTTAGTTATGTTACAGCTCCAGGGTTGTTTTTGTAATTCTCAGTGTCAGACTGTGGATTTCAGACTGGGACTGGTTGCGTTGGTTTCCAGCAAACCACTGTGTTTTGATGTAGCGTACTAGACATTTGCATTTTCTGAAGTAAATATGAGTGTGGTTGCCCATGCAAAAGTCGTTGATGTTAGCGTAGCTGTCAAGGCCTTTCTATGCAGTTTCAGATGTGTTGTGCATTGTTGTCAGTGGGCTGCATGATAATCAAAATAAAACCAAAACTGCAATATGACTTAGTGTGATTATCAAAATACAAAGGCTGCGATTTAATTATATAAATATATGCACTGCATAGATTCAATTCAATTACATTAAGTTGTTTTGTTTCACATTTTTATTTTATAATAATATTTTTTAATATAATTTTATTGCACTGTAAAA